GAGACAAAAACATTAAAACCCATTATAAACGAGGCATTTGTTGCATCCAGTGGGGACATAATTATGGATTATAATGACTTATACTGTGTTTTTACGCGTTGCATTGCATCGCGCCGCGTAAACATAAAACCATATCTGCATTTGTGATCGGAGAAATGACAAACTTACACTGCTCAAAACTCGCGTTTGAATCGTCAGTGGCAAAATCTTTAAATATAAAAACGTACTTACAGTCTGTGAGTCAGAATATTGTGGATCTTGTGGATGAGTTCTTCTGTGTCATCACGTGACACAGAAGTGAAAAGGGACCCCTTTCAAACAGTGTCACGTTCCGAACGTTGTTTAAGAGACATACACCGGTATGGCGGTATTTTAAAAATTCATATCATAACAAAAATAAACACCGGTATTCGGTATGAACCGGTATACCGCCCAACACCACCCCCACCCATTCTGACCATCTCTCTACACAACCGTTAACACCTCCTGTAGCCCCCTCTCCCTCACTCCTGCACTTCAGATCAGTGAAGATGATGTGCGCCAGGTCTTCAGAAAGAACAAGAGAAGAAAGGCACCAGGCCCAGATGGTGTGACACCAGCCTGTCGGAAAACCTGCGCTGACCAGCTGGCCCTTATCTTTTCACAGATCTTCAATAGATCTCTGGAGTTGTGTTAAGTCCCTTCCTGCTTCAAACGCTCCACCATCATCCCCGTTCCAAAGAAACCCAAGATAACAGGACTTAATGACTACAGACCTTTGGTACTAACATCTGTCGCCATGAAGTCGTTCGAAAAACTGGTTCTGGCTTATCTGAAGGATATCAATGGACCCTTACTGGACCCCTGCAGTTTGCTTACCGAGCAAACAGGTCCGTGGATGATGCAGTCAACATGGGACTGCACTTCATCCTGCAACAGATTACAATCTTTTTGTAGGCAGCCCTGTAATGCAACTAGGAGAATACAAACAATATTTACTGGCCATTCTTTAGCCACTCAATTGAACTGGAATGGCTCAAACCAAAAGAGACCTTTTCAGAACCTGTTGTTTCATATAGGCCAGGGATCCTCAAATCTGGCTCATGAGATCCACTTTCCTGCAGAGTTTAGTTCTGACCTTAATCAAACACACCTGAGTATGTCCTCAGGATCATTAGAAAATCACAGGTGGGTGAGTTTGATCAAAGTTGGAGCTAAACTCTGCAGGAAAGTGGATCTCATGAGCCATATTTTGTGAGCAGTTTTCTTCCTTACCACTAGGGATGCTAGGGTGTTTTAGGTTTCTTTATGTAAAGTCATGTGGGTAGAGGAGTTAGCTATAACAAGCAGCAGTAGCCAGCATGGCTCACCTGTTGAACACATTGTGCTGTGTCCTGGTTGGGAAATGTGTAATTTCAAGCCCAGTCAAAAGGAGTTGTTATTTTTTCTGTTTAAAAGTGTACATTGCTGATGTTTTTTGCAGAGATGGTACATGTATGTATGGCCTATGTTTGGATTGATTCTAAGAGTTTAAGACAGTGTATTTGTATGCATTTTAGAAGGACTCTTTATTGGTGAGGACACCACATCATGGTCCAGTTTGAATATGGATTTAAAGTTCTTTTCGACATGAGACCATAGTCTAGACTATTTTTGAATGTTCTTCATACTTCATACATTTATTGCATACTTGGCAATAAAGCTCTTTCTGATTGATTCTGATTCTGATTCTGATGAATCTACACCCAGTTTTTCCTGGATAGAGACATAATGGGACTGCACGTATTGACCTGCTCTCCTGCCAGTGTGAAAGAACTTAATTTGAACAAAATGCCCAGGTTAGATCCCTCTCTATTGTAACCCAAAAGAGACCCAAGTCATTTGCGCACCGATACTGGGAAAGTCTGGCCATTTGAAAAGTTAAATTGCACAGTCTCACACAAAGGGATTAAGGGGACTGGTGATAAGGGAAAAAGAGGTGCAGCCACATCATTGCATAATATGGTGATATAAGACAGAGATCTCATCTTGCAACAGAGCATTGTTCCACCAACCCCTATGTATATTTTCTGTATGCAAATTAATTTTCAGTTTCACAGCAGCATACAGGCAGGGCACTCAGACCAAAGCAACAACCAGAACATAATTCACAGTAGACTTTGCAAAAAATCTATACAGGAATATGATTTATGATCGTGGGAATAGAAGTAAGGTTGAAGGGACTATATCAGCATTCTTATGATGATTTTATATTCGCATGCTACTAAGACTGTCAAAATATAAGTATATGGCTAATTTTCTGTTCATTTTATTGTGCTTTCAATTAATTGTTAATAACAGTATTATTTTAATTTTGGTTGTCCAGGGTTTATTTGCAGGGTTCTTGAGACAACCCCTTAAACAGTTACAAATGGCAATCACATGGGAGGGAAAGGATCCCAATTTCCATTACAAAGTTGTACACGGTGCAGTGAATACCTATGAATTAATTAAAAATACAAACTCCTTATCAATTAATGACGGCATTTTTCTGCACATATATTAGTCTCAGTTATGAATTGTGAAAACTTAGTTTTACAGTTACAGGAAAAATTATGTGAACCCTAACTTAATCTTAAAAGGGGTCCTATTATGCTCTTTTACAAAGTCTTGATTTTGTTTTGGGGGTGTACTAGAACATGCTCTCATGCTTGGTGGTTTGAAAAACGCATTATTTTTCACATAATTTACATTATTAAAATACCTTTCTCCCCAGCCTGGCACAAACGGCTCGATTAGTTCCGGCTTTGATGAAGGTCCACCTTCCGAAAAACAAAATGTGTTGTGATTGGTTAGCTGTCCCAGTGCGTTATGATTTGCGAACAGCTTAGACGGTGTTTCAGTACTGCCACGCCCCTTGCTCTGTCGTTCAACAAAAGCTTTTTGGCGAATCCGGCACTGCTCCCTCATGTAGTGGAAGCTGTCCTCAGTAAAATGCGTAGCACACAATAGCAAATTGGAGTTATAATGCTCAGGAACAGAGTTAAAAAATAAATTGCAACCACTGTTTCCTGACATCATCCGCATTCGGAAGCCCAAACAAAGACGTTTGGGCACGGAGGTGAAAAAAA